TCAATATTATTTCAATATTTCCATATTATTTGTATATTATTTCAATAATTTCCATTTTTCAAAATATTTCAATAGTTCAATTTTCAAATTTATAATCAAGTCGAATTTATTTAATGTACACTTAAACTGCAATAATATGAAATAATCACACTCCTAAATACGTTTGTGTTTTCTAATAAATATATATTTTTAGGGAGATATTATTCTGATATTTAATATTTAAGGCAACTTTTTCACCTTTTTATTCTATATTCGTCAAACATTTATTTACACATTAGTCTTCGTTTTCTTTTTCCATATAATTCGAGTTTTTTATAATTTGAAGAAACCTCAGCTTCAATTAGCTGAATGATATTTTATAAACATCAAATACAAGTCGGGAATATAATAACATTTTTAAATATAAAGATATAAGTTAATAAAACGTAAAATAATGCTTTATTTTTACATTCTAGTAGAAAATTTCTTCAGTTGTGATTTATTTATTTTTATTTGCCCGTATTCTAGTCTTGTAAACTGAAATTTTTATAGGTGACTTTTATTACGCAATCTATGTACAATAGCCGATATTTTCATTGTAATTTCAATGCCCCTCGGCCAACCACAAATTGATTAAAAATAGAATTAAACGCCCAGACCACATCACACGCAATCTACATAAAATTATACCGGAACTCGATTTGTAGATTACATTTATGTATGTTTATTCGAAAATGCACAATGTTTGGTTTTGTTTGGGCATTTTAATTTTAATTTTATAGTCCTAGATATATTTGATTTAGTTTAAACTAATAAATAATGATCAAAATAGTGTTAAAATAGATTGTTTGTTCAAAAGATTAGTTCAATATGATTAGAAATAAAATTATTTCAATTTATTAGACCTTTGATCTATCTTAGAATACGAACATCCCATGTATTTAAACTATTCACTCCCTTGAGATAACATAAACTTCTTGCCCCTAAAAATAATTTCGAAAATTTGTAAACCAAAACAACCCAATAGCATTCTTTTATATCAGAACTTTAAAATAGCACCAATTACCTATCGAATGACTCAAAAAACTGTCCAAGAAGTTTGTTAAAAGAGGAGACAAACAAATATGGCCTCCTACTATCCCTTAATTTGCAAATAAGGCAGGTGTTACATTTTAAAATTGTTGTTATAATTTTACTAGATCTGTAATCATAGTAACAAAAAAAGTCAGATTGATTTATTTTTTAAAATATTTCAAAGATAATTTGGTTATAAACAATGTAAACAATGATGTAAGTTACTAGAAAGAACAATTGTAGAAATGCTACAAGAATAAATAAAAACCTAAATATTTATTTAAAGAAATAATGAAGGAAAGTATTTTCAAGTCTGTACAATTTTTTTTTAATTGATTCGTCGAACGCTTTCGGTTGTTAAGCCATCATCAAGACACCATAATATAGAAAAAACAATTTAAAAAATGGTAAAAGACAAATATATAGCATTCTCGTTGGGGAGGATTCTTGGAAAATGAATAGAAATGCTAAAACATTGTGCTAGAGTCCAAAATAATTTCAAAACCCAAAACCCATTTTAAAATAAAAATAGAACTATGTTTTTATTTTTGAAATTCGAATTTCTGCTAATTATATTAAAAAAAAAATTAATATCGCAACGTGCTTCAGATTGTATCAAGTATACAGAGTGTGTCATAGGGAGTAGTAAATATTTTACCTTTAGATTCATTCAGGACCTCAAATTATTAATATGGTGCTAAATAAAACTGAGTCAAATGTTATCTATTACTGGGTATTAAAAGTAAAAATTTATTTTTCTTTTTTTTGGTAAAATATTTTGGTTCGTTTTTAACGTATTGACTTGACAGGGTTATATTTTTAAGATAGTAAATTATAAGCGACTTATCAGTTTAGAGATTAGACATTCAGAAATCCACATACACTCTACTGAATGAAAAAGTAACCACTTTTTATTTTGGGCATTTTAATTTTTTATCATGTCTTTATGATACAAAAAAATTAAACAGAAAACGTGTACTTGTTTTAACAGGATAAATTAGGCCCATTTCAATAAATTTGCATTTAAAATGTTTTGAGTGTTTTGAAGTTGTTTTAAGTCTTTGAAAGGTTTTTAAACGGTTTAAGTGTTTTAAATGTTTTAAGTGTTTTTAGTAGTTTCTAAGGGGTTTTAAGTGTTTTTAAGATTTTTTGTTTTTTTGGGTTTTTAATTTTTTTAAGTTTTTAAAGTTAAGTTTTTAATTGTTTTAAGTTAAGTTTTAAGTGTTTTTAGGTTTTGAAAAATTCTTTAAATTATTTTTAAGCGCAATTTAAAGTGTTTTGAGTCCTTTAAAATGTTTTTAAGCGTTTTTAGGATTTTTCAAAGTTTTTTAAAGTTTTTAAATTCAGTTTTTAAGTGCTTTACAAGTTTAAAAAAAATGATTTAAAGCATTTTAAGGACTGTTAAGTATTAAAGTATTAAATTATTAAAGTATTAAAGTAAAGTATTAAATTATTAAAGTAAAGTATTAAAGTAAAGTATGAAAGTAAAGTATGAAAGTAAAGTATGAAAGTAAAGTATTAAAGTATTAAAGTATTAAAGTATTAAAGTATTAAAGTAAAGTAAAGTATTAAAGTATTAAAGCATTAAATTATTAAAGCATTAAAGTAAAGTATTAAAGCATTAAATTATTAAAGTATTAAAATATTGAAGTAAAGTATTAAAGTATTGACGTATTGAAATATTGAAGTATTCAAGTATCGAGGTATTCAAGTATTTTTTTTTTTTTTTTTTTTTGTCAATATTCAAGTATTGAAGTATTCAATTTAAGTATTAAAATATTTTTAAGTATTTTCAGACATTTTAAAGTATTTTTAACTAGTTTAGGTATTTTTAAGTATTTTAAAGTATTATTAAGCATTTTAAATCATTTTTAAAAGTATTTTTAGGTATTTTAAATTATTTTTAGGTATTTTAGGAATTTTTTTAAATAATTTTTATTTTTTAAGTATTGTAGGTATTTTTAAAAGTATTTTTAAGTATGTTTTTAAAGTATTTTAAAGTATTGTAAAGTAAAATATTTAAGTATTTTAAAGTATTTTACAGTATTTTAAAGTAAAGTATTTTAAAGTATTTTAAAGTATTTTAAAGTATTTTAAAGTATTGGATTATTTAAGTATTTAGGTATTGGAGTATTTAAGTATTTAGGTACTTGAGAATTTAAGTATTTAAGTATTTGAGTATTTAGGTAATTAGGTATGTGAGTACTTTAAGGTATGAAGTAAGTATTTTAAAGCATTTTAAAGCAATCTTAGGTACTTTAAAGTGTTAAGTATTTTTAAGTGTATTTAAGGATGTTTAACGGTGTTTAATTGCTTTTGTTCATGTGTTTTGAGAGTTTTTATGCGTTTTTATAGTTCGTTTTTTAGCTTTTTAAAATTTTTTGTTTTTGTTTTTTAAGTTTATTAAAGTTTTTAAGGTTTTGGTAAAAAATAAACATTTTTAAGTGTTTTTAAATGTTTTTAAGCGTTTTTAGGGACATGAAAGTGTTTATAGGATTTTTTTACAGTGTTTTGTTTTTTAGTTTTTTTTCTACTTTAAAAATAAAAGTTGATGTTTTGTGTTTTTATGGGGTTTCATGTTCTTTATGTATTTTTCATGTGTTTTAATTGTTTTTAAGTTTTTTAAAATGTTTTAAGTGTGTTTATGTGTTTTAACAGTCTTTGTGCGTTTTTATGTGTTTTAACAGTCTTTGTGCGTTTTTATGTGTTTTTAGTGATTTTTTTTAGATTTTTTTCTTTTTTAAGTTCATTAAGTTTTTAAGGTTTTGAAAGAAAAAATAAGCATTTATAAGTGTTTAAAGGTTTTTGAAAAATAAATTAGTTTTTAATTGTTTTTAATTGTTTTTAAGTGTATTTAAGTATTTTTAAGTATTTTTAAGTATTTTTAAGTATTTTTAAGTATTTTTAAGTATTTTTAAGTATTTTTAAGTATTTTTAAGTATTTTTAAGTATTTTTAAATATTTTTAAGTATTTTTAAGTATTTTTAAGTATTTTTAAGTATTTTTAAGTATTTTTAAGTATTTTTAAGTATTTTTAAGTATTTTTAAGTATTTTTAAGTATTTTTAAGTATTTTTAAGTATTTTTAAGTATTTTTAAGTATTTTTAAGTATTTTTAAGTATTTTTAAGTATTTTTAAGTATTTTTAAGTATTTTTAAGTATTTTTAAGTATTTTTAAGTGTTTTTTAAGTGTTTTTAAGTGCTTTAAGTATTTTTAAGTGTTTTTAAGTGTTTAAGGACCGATTCCACCGTTGTGTTAAACGAAGTTTAAAATGACATTTTTACATTAACAGTGTCATTTTAATCGCCGTTTAACACAACGGTGGAATCGGTCCTGAGTGTTTTAAGTGTTTATAGGATTTTTAGTGTTTTATTTTTGAGTTTTTTAAATTCTACTTTAAAAATAAAAAGTTGATATGAATGTTGGTAAAAAATTCTTCGATTTTCAGATACAGGATGTTCAAATTAATTTTTTTTTCCGACAAACATTTAGAGGTACTTTTTTACAAAACAACTTCTGCGACCATCCCTAAAATATTTCGCACTTATTTACAAACACCCAGTCATAAAAAACGCATGGAAACGTATAGAATTTAAAAACTTATCGACCATTTTCTGTAATCAATATTTCCATGTCGTATGTAATTGCGCCAAACTTAGGAGAAATGTTTGGAGGTTAAGGGACAAGGGATTTTTTTCAGTAGCGAGAATATATTGCATTTATATAATATATGACACTTCTGTGAGTATTTTTCACATATTTTTGCATTAAATTACTGCCTGATATTTATTTGTATCTTTCTCTATTAAAACCACGGCTGTATTACTTTATATCTCGATTTACATATAAATGTAAGTGCCTTCTCTCAATTTTATTTCCAAAAATGATATTAGTGGAAATTTGAGAAAACAACATTAAAAATAACAAATAAAACAAATGAACTTACCTTGCCCAACAAAATATTTCCTAAAATACAACGCCCCTTGGTCGACATTTTCGATCGGCCTCGGGAACCTTTGGTAAGGGCAAGTAGAATGCCTCCAATGGGTTTCTCCAGCTGCAAACTCCAAGACTGCCACTCCGTACGCTAAGGGAGGTCTGTGAAGGGGTTTTCGATTGTGACCGTTTTGTAACCTAAAAAAGCAATATTTAGTAATCACAAGAAAATCCTGCGACAATGCTGTACATTGACTACAGAAATATTGAAAAGAACCTGGGGAATATTTAATTAATTTTTTTAGTTTCTTTTTTAAGTATTTTTAAAGTTTTTTTCAAGTTTTGAAAATAACCTGGATAACATCTATTTAATTTTTAAAGTCGACAACATTCATGTTTGATAAGATCAAAATCGAAAATAAATATTTTCCTCAATTTTTTTTTATACTAGTGGGAGAAAGATTTGTAATATCGCGAGATTTTTCATTTATTGTTGTACAGGGTGATTCTTTTATCATGGGAAATGAGTTTTTCTCGTAAACGGCTGCAGCAAATTGAGTTTTGTGAAAAGTATTTTATTTGGGCCGGCTAATGCTTAAAATTGGGATGGATAAGGAAGTTATAAATAAGCGACGCTGGGCATCGCGACGCTTCAATTTTTTTTTGTCAGAAGCATACCATTTTTATTTCAGAAATTGAAAGATCTATTCAATAGAAACACTTTTTTCAAATACCATTTTTTTCCATCTAAAACCATTCAAGCATTACAGACCAGTTTTTATGTTCCAAATTTCTAGATTGCCATACAAAGAATGCATGGTATTTTAAATTTCACTAAATCAGGTAGGCTTTGAAAAAACATAATTGGCTTATATTGATTGATGTCTGAAACTGTCAGTGTAATTTCAATTATTTCTATTAAAATAGTGAGTAATAAGAAATATGTTTACACATTCAGATAAAGTTGACATGCTTCTTTTATACGGAGAAGCCCAAAAAAATGGTTTAGCTGCAAGAAGATTATATGCGGAAAAATACCCCGAACGCAACCTTCCAGACCACAAAATGTTTGCCAGGTTAGAAACTAGTTTACGTCAAAACCCTAAAGCATTTGAAGGTAGGTTTTGTGTTTTTTAATAAATCCCCATAAATTCAATGAGCCAAATTTGCAGGTAAAAGATCAAGAACAAAAACTGTCACGACGGATGAAAATGTGGCAATTATTTTAAATTATTTTAACAATCACCATGAAGCTTCTATAAGAGAGGCTTCAAGAGACTTAAATTTAAATTATAGTGTGATACAAAGAGTTTTAAAAAGCAACAAATACCATGACTATAAATTTCATAATTTGCAAGAACTTTCGCTTAGAGATTTTGAGAGGAGGAAGGATTTTATTTGTCAGTTTTTGGTGTCTTTGGATGACAATCCTAATTTATTTTCTCATATACTATGGACAGACGAAAGTCATTTTGTTAGTCATGGATTACCAAACAAAAAAAAATACCCAGTTTGTTTTATAAGTTTTTTTTTAGGTTTTTTTAGATTTTTAAGGGTTTTGAGTTTGTTTTATAAGTTTTTTAGGTTTTTTAGTTTTTTTTTCTTTAGTGTTTTTTTTTAAAGTTTTTATAAAGTATTTTCAAAGTTTTTCAAGTTTTGAAAAGAACCTGGGTAACATCTCTTTAATTTTTAAAGTCGACACCATTCATTTTTGATAAGATCAAAATTAAAAATTAATTATTTTCCCTCGATTTTTTTATACTAGTTGAAGAAAGTCTTGTAGTATCGCGAGAGTTTTCATTTATTGTTGTACAATACGGTACAGGGTTTGATTAAGGACTGCTGAAAGCTGCAATGTTCTTGTACAATTGAACAACAATATTATTTAAGTGTTTTTAATTTTTTTAAGTTTATTTTTAAACTATTTAAATGTTTTAAAATTTTTTAAGGTTTTTAAGTTTGTTTTTTAAAGTTTTTTAGGCTTTTAGTTTTTTTTTAAGTATTTTTAAAGTTTTTTAGGCTTTTAGTTTTTTTTTTAGTTTTTTTAAAGTCGACAACATTTATGTTTTGATAAGATCAAAATCAATACTAAAAATTTTCCTAAATTTTTTTTGATACTAGTGGGAGAAATTTTTGTAATATCACGAGATTTTTCATCTATTGTTGTACAATATGATATAGGGTTTGATTAAAAGGACTACTGAAAGCTGTAATATTCTGGTACAATTGTACAAAAATATTTTTAAGTGTTTTTAATTTTTATAAATTTGTTTATTTTTAAACTTTTTAAGTTTTTTTCTTAGTGTTTTTAAAGTTTTTTTAGTGTTTTTTTTTTAGTTTTTTAAAGTATTTTAAGTTTTGAAAAGAACCTGGATAACATCTATTCAATTTTTAAAGTCGATAACATTCATATTTGATAAAATCAAAAATAAAATTTTCCTCATTTTTTTTTACTAGTGCGAGAAAGTTTTGTAATATCGCGACATTTTTCATTTATTGTTGTACAGGGTTTGATTAAAAGGACTGCTGAAAGCTGCAATGTTCTGGTACAATTGTACAAAAATATTTTAAAGTGCTTTTAATTTTTATAAGTGTGTTTACTGTTTAGTTATAAACTTTTTAAAAGTTTTTTAAGTTTTAAGTTTTTTAAGGTTTTTAAGTTTATTTGGTTTTTTAGTTTTCTTTCTTAATTTTTTTTAAGTTTTTAAGTTTCTTTAGTGTTTTGAAAAGAATCTGGATAACATCTATTCAATTTTTAAAGTCGACAACATTCATATTTGATAAAATCAAAAATAAAATTTTCCTCATTATTTTTATACTAGTGAGAGAAAGTTTTGTAATATTGCGACATTTTTCATTTATTGTTGTACAATACGGTGCAGGGTTTGATTAAATGGACTGCTGAAAGCTGCAATGTTCTGGTACAATTAAGTGTTTTTAATTTTTATAAGTTTGTTTATTTATAAACTTTTTAAAAGTTTTTTCAGTTTTAAGTTTTTTTGGCTTTTTTAAGTTTTTTTTTAGGGTTTTAAGTGTTCTTTCTTAATTCTTTTTAAGTGTTAAGTCTTTAGTGTTTTTTAAAGTATTTTTAAAGTTTTTTCAATTTTTGAAAAGAACCTGAGTCATCTATTTAATTTTTAATGATTTTTTATGTTTTTTTAGTTTTTTTCTTAGTTTTTATAAGTTTCTTTTGTGTTTAAATTTTTTTCAAGTTTGGAAAGACCATAGTTAACATATACAGGGTGTCCTTTAAAATGTGTCCCAAAATTCTCAGGCAGATTCCTTAACCAAAAAATGGAAAAAAAGTTCCTATAGACCTATGTCCTAAAGTGCCCCCTAAGCGAGCAACAGCCTCTCGAAATCATTTTTTTTATTTTGATTTTTTGAATTTTCTTAAAAATGGAAACAAATAAAAGAACCAAATTTTGGCTGTTAAATATGATCAATAATAGTGACCTTTTGACACCTTCAAAAAGAAATTATTTCATCAGGGGTGTACTTGGGAATTTTTTGAAAATTTTGATTATTCATAACTTTTTTGTGTTTTTGGTAATGACTTATCCATATTTTTTTTTACATTCTACATTGAAAACTACGTCAAAAAGGAATACTTGTTTGATCTCGATTGGAGCAGCCGTTTCCGAGAAAACATCATCCAAAGATATTCGTGCAGTTTAGGTTAATTTTCAATTTTGGCTGTTGTAGCCAAAAAGTTGGAAATCGAGGAACACGGCTTACATGTCCCTATCCTTACTTTTGAAGGTCTATTCAGTGGCAAAAAATATTAGTTGATACAGGGTGATCAAAAATCGGATGTGATTTTGGATTTTTGATCACCCTGTATCAAATAATATGTATTTTATGTCACTGAATAGACCTTAAAAAGTTAGGATAGGGACTGTAAGCCGTTTTCCTCGATTTCCAACTGTTTGGCTACAACAGCCACCTGAATTTAAAAAAAATGTGATTTTTGAGTAGCTGTAGATCCTTTACTATTCATATTAGATAACAAGTGTGATATATCATTGAAATCAGATTATCGAGCAGATTCTAAAAATATAAAAATATACAGGGTGTTCCATTTAAAAAACATAACTTTGATTTGGCACGGCCTTATGAAACACCCTGTCACATCGTAACTAATTTTAAAATGTGAAGCTTAAAGCTGCCTACTTTTATTATAACAGATCTACAGAGCTTCCTCACACTAATCAATCACCCTGTATACTATTTTTAGCTCTCTAAATAAAATTTAAAAATTTAGTTCCCATTTATTTATTATGAAGACCATAAGGTTTGTATTTAGCTGTTTAGAATAAAAAAGTAAAAATATGTATTTTTTTGGCGTTTTTGTGTTTCATGGATAATTTTTTTCGCTCACTGATAAAAATGTTTCTTCAGTTAAACATTATTTCTAAAAGTGTTCTGGTGCGATTCGTTGTATTGTTATTATTTTGTTTAAAATGGCTCACAATAACTACAATAATGATTACACATTCGGCGAAATGACGGACATGCACTTATGTTTTGGACTCGCTTCTGGAAATGCCAATGAAGCTCGCAGACTTTATCAGGAGCGCTTTCCAAATAGGCATCTTCCATGCGCTAAGACGTTTTCTAGAATTGACGATAGACTTCGGGAAACTGGTACATTTAAGAAAAACTCTAGTAACAGTGGAAGACAAAATTATGTGAGAACTCCTGCTTTGGAAGAAGCAATTTTGGATAGGGTAGCTGAAACCCCATCGACAAGTACCAGAAAAATAGCAAATGGTAAGTAATTACTTATTTATTATTTTAGCTACCCCGTACCTTATCGTATAAAACTAGTTTTTTTACTTGTTATTGCTTCTCTTACATTTCACGACTTTTCGTATCGAAAAGAGTTGCGTTATGCAGAAAAAATCTGATTTCCCAAATCAATGGATTCTCTTTCTTAACTATTCACTACACAGATTCTCTCATTTAATTTCAGAAGTGGGAGTCGGACGTAACACGGTATGGAAAGTTTTGCGTGAACAACAATTGTACCCTTACCACATTCAAAAAGTTCAGGCACTTAAAGCTACTGATTATGAGCCGCGAGTTATCTTTTCTGAATGGTTTCTTGGAAGATGTAATCAAGATGCAATGTTTCTTAATAAAGTGCTATTTACCGATGAAGCTGGTTTCACTAGAGATGGTATAATAAATTTTCGAAATATGCATGAATGGGCTGAAGATAACCCTCACGCGGTTGTTGAACGTCACCACCAGGATAAATTTTCAATAAACGTCTGGGCTGGAGTTATTGATAATTACCTTATTGGACCATTTGTTTTGCCGAATAGGTTAAATGGAGCAGCATACAGGCTTTTTTTGGAAAATAACTTACATGAGCTTCTTGATAATATTCCGATTCAAATCAGACATAACATGTGGTTTATGCATGATGGAGCTCCACCACATTACAGCCTTGAAGCTAGACAGCACCTTAACGAAAGATTTGAGGGTAGAGTAATTGGCAGAGGTTGTCCTGTTAACTGGCCACCTCGTTCACCAGATCTAAATCCAATGGATTTTTTTGTTTGGGGTTATTTAAAATCATTGGTTTATTCCAGTCCTGTTGAAACAGTTGAAGAATTGGAAGAACGAGTTTTTCATCATTGCGAAGTTCTTAGGAATAATCCTGAAGTATTTTTTCGTGTAAGACAGTCTATGATGCGACGGTTGCGCTTGTGTGTGGAAACCAATGGTCGCCACATTGAGCATCTGCTTTAATTTTTTTTGATTTGTTTTTTTAGAATAAATATTTTTTTAAACCGTTTCTTATTATTAAATAAAAATAGTCCCACCACGACATTTGAACTACAATTATTTAGAGAGAGCTAAAAAAGTTATTTTTATTTACGAGATTCACCGAGGTAATTTAGGAAAATTGAAAATTAAGCTAAAGTGGACGAATATCTTTGGATGATGTTTTCTCGGAAACGGCTGCTCCAATCGAGATCAAACAAGTATTCCTTTTTGACGTAGTTTTCAATGTAGAATGTAAAAAAAAATATGGATAAGTCATTACCAAAAACACAAAAAAGTTATGAATAATCAAAATTTTCAAAAAATTCCCAAGTACACCCCTGACGAAATAATTTCTTTTTGAAGGTGTCAAAAGGTCACTATTATTGATCATATTTAACAGCCAAAATTTGGTTCTTTTATTTGTTTCCATTTTTAAGAAAATTCAAAAAATCAAAATAAAAAAAATGATTTCGAGAGGCTGTTGCTCGCTTAGGGGGCACTTTAGGACATAGGTCTATAGGAACTTTTTTTCCATTTTTTGGTTAAGGAATCTGCCTGAGAATTTTGGGACACATTTTAAAGGACACCCTGTATATTAATTTTTAAAGTCGACAATTATCATATTTGATAAAATCAAAAATTAAAATGTTTCTCAATTTTTTTTGACACTAGTGGGAGAAAGTTTTGTAATATCGCGAGATCTTTCATTTATTGTTGTACAATACAGAACAGTGTTTTTAATTTTTTTAAGTATGTTTATTTTTAAAGTTTTTAAGTTTTTTAGGTTATTTTAGTATTTTTTTCTTAGTTTTTTAAGTATAAGTTTCTTTAGTGTTCTTTAAGATTTTTTTAAGTATTTTTAAAGTTTTTTTCAAGTTTTGAAAAGAATCTGGGTAATATTAATTTTTAAAGTGGACAACATTCATGTTTAATAAGATCAAAATTAAAACTTTTTTGATACTAGTGGGAGAAAATTTTGTAATATCACGAGATTTTTTATTTATTGTTGTACAATATGGTAAGGGTTGGATTAAGGACTGCTGAAAGCTGCAATGTTCTTTTACAATTGTACAAAAATATTTTTTTAAGTGTTTATCTTTAAACTTTTTAAGTTTTTCTAGTTTTTTTCTTAGTTTTTTAAAGTTTTTTTAGTGTTTTTTAGTTTTTTAAAGTATTTTTCAAGTTTTGAAAAGAACCTGAGTAACATCTATTTTATTTTTAAAGTCGACAACAATTCATGTTTGATAAGTTCAAAATTAAAAATAATAATTTTCCTCTTTTTTGATACCAGTGGGATAATAGCGCGAGATTTTTCATTTATTGTTGTACATTACGATACAGGGTTTGATTAAGGAATGCTAAAAGCTGTAATGTTTTTGTACAATTGTACAAAAATATTTTTAAGTGTTTTTAATTTTTTTAAGTTTGTTTATTTTTAAGTTTAAGTTTTTTATGGTTATTAAGTTTGTTTTTTAAGTTTTTTAAGTTTTTTTTATGTTTTTTATGTTTTTTATGTTTTTTATGTTTTTTATGTTTTTTGTTTTTTATGTTTTTTATGTTTTTTATGTTTTTTATGTTTTTTATGTTTTTTATGTTTTTTATGTTTTTTAAAGTTTTGTTAAAGTTTTTAAAGTATTTTTAAAGTTTTTTTCAAGTTTTTAAAAGAACCTGAGTAACATCTATCTAATCATAATCTTAAATTATATCCAAATACAAAGGGTCTGGAGCGTAATCAAAGGTACTTCCCTATATTTGCAAAAACCATACTAGAGAGGAGATCCATAGAAAAACTGAAATAAAAAAAAAAATCGATCCAGGTGAGATTCGAACCCACTACCTTTTTAATACCGTTCCACAAGATTTAAAGACCTTTCTTTCACCTAATTTCAGTTTGTTGAGTTGTGACTTTAAAAATTGACAGGAAAATTTCCCCGAGAGTTTTACTTATAATGAACTAAACATATTTGTTTAAATGAAGAAGGATAGAGTAGAGTATTAAATGAAGAAGGCTTAGAATATCATTCCATAAAACTTTGTTTTCTGTTAATTACCTTGACAAGCTCACTATCCTTTCCTCTTCTCCTCCTATTTCGTTCCTGAAGAACGGACAGCTCTCCACCAAGTCGTTACTTTGGCCGTCGCCTGGATCGTCTTCAGACTCGCCGTCCGGCGTCGATGATCGCACCATCACAGAGGCAGCCGATGCACCTGTAGCTACGTGTTTGTAATGTTTTTTGGTATGGATGATGCGAATGAAATAATATCGATTATGGATCAATGATAAAAATATATGAGTGTATTTATGTACTTAATTTTCAACCAATGAAAATCAAACAAAAAACATTATTAACACGTTAAGCGCCATGGCGCGTACAAAAGCCTATAAATGTGGTGAGGTTGTTTTTAAAAAAAAAAAAAAACAATTCAAACACATGAGGCTTTGTTTGAAGCTAGCAAAGCACCTCGTATTTTTTTGAAAATACCCATTTTTTTGTTTTATATTTCGAAAAAATTTGCAAATGATTTGTAAAAGTTTTTAACATTTCAAGAGTCTAGTGGCATAATTTAAAAAAAAAAACCATGTTGCTCTACTGGCTTCGTTCTGAGTTAACTTTAAAAATAGTAATTTTTTCAAAAGGCATTATAATACATCAAGAGCCAAAAAATAGCCTTAAAATGTGACATGGTTTAAAAAGAAAGAACAAAAAACAGAAATAAAGAAAAAAAGAACGAAAAAAAAATAAAATTAAAAAAGAAAACAAAAGGAAAAAAAAAAGAAAAAAGAAAAAAAAAAAGGAAAAACAGGAAAAAAAAAAACGTTGAAAAACAGTAAACGAAAGAAAAGAAGGCAACAAAGAAAACAGTATAAAAAAAAATTAAAAAAAAAATAGAAAAGTAAGGAAAAGAAGTAAAAAGAAACGAAAAAAAAAAACAAAATTTAAACGTTAAAAAACAGAAGTGGTCTGTTCTTCGTTCTAGCAAAGCATCTTATATTATTTAAAAAAAAGGCTTCGATCGAAGCTAGAAAAGCATCCCATATTTTTTGAAAATACCAATTTTTTTATGTGTTTTATATTTCATGAGCCTAAAAATAGCCTAAAAATGTGTGATTGCTTTTAGAAAAAAAAAAAAAAAAAGCTTCCATAAACGGTGTTCGTTCTAGCAATTTTTTAAAATAGTTTGAAAATATTTCAAGAGTAAAAATGTGGGGTGGTTGTTTTTAGAAAAAAGTTTAAAAAAACTGAGTTGGTCTGCTATTTTTTAAAAAGACCAAATTTTTTTGAAAATATGTATATTTCAAGAGCCAAGAAATATGGTGTGGTTAAAAAAAAAGAACAAAAAAAAAAACAAAAAAAAATTTAAAGAAATTAAAAAAAAAAAAATACAAAATTTGAAAAAAAAAAGAAGGAGCTATCAGAGCACCTTGATTATTGTAAAAAACAAGATTCCGTGTGCTGTGCTGTTTTATTTGACATATTAACCTAGATATTTCTAATTGCAATTTTGTTTGTCCACCTAACTATTAAAAAAAAACTAAAAAAAAAAACAAAAAAAAAAAAAACAAAAAAAAAAACTAAATTTGAAAAAAAAAATAAAAAAAAACAAAATTTGAAAAAAACAAAATTTGAATATAAAAAAACGAGGAGCTATCTGATAACTCCACCTTGATTATTATAAAAACAAGATTTAGTGTGCTGTGCTGTTTTGGACATATTAACCTAGATACTTCTAATTGCAATTTCGATTGTCCACCTAACGTTTAAAAAAAAATATAATAAAATTTAAAAAAACAGATATCTCTTCGTTTTTTTATTCAAATTTTGTTTTTTTTTTTCATTTTTTTTTTAAATTTTGTTACTTTTTGTTTTTTTTTATTTTTTTTTATTTTTTTTTTGTTTATTTTTATTTTTTTTTTGTTTTTCTTTGGTTTTTTCTTTGGTTTTTTGTTTGTTTTTTAACAATTACGTCATATTTTCTGACTCTTGAAATATTATACACCTTTCAAAAAAATTTGTTCTTTTCTGTTTTTTTTTGTTCTTTTTTTTTGTTTTTTTCTTCGTTTTTTATTTCTTTTTTTTTTTAAAAAGAAGAAAAAAAAACGAAGAAAGAAAAAAAAAGGAAAAAGAAAGAAATGAAAAGCTTAAAAAACCGTTAAAAAAATAAAAAAATACAAAAAAGAAAAAAAAAAAAGAAAAAAGAAGAAAAAAAGAAAAAACTTATAGTTAAAAAACAGAGGTAGTCTATTATTCGTTCTAGCAAAGCATCTTAATATTATGGGGTCGGTGGTGTAGCAATCTAACGCGCTTATATTCATTTATAAGCAAGTTTATGTGTCAGAGACTGCTGGATTCGAATCGCAGACCAGACCATGTGGAATTTTAATTAAACTGCATGCAAATTACGTCATATTTTCTGACTCTTGAAATATTATACACCTTTCAAAAAAATTTGTTCTTTTCTGTTTTTTTTTGGTCTTTTTTTTGCTTTTTTTTCTTCGTTTTTTATTTCTTTTTTTTTTTTAAAAGAAAAAAAACGAAGAAAGAAAAAAAAAGGAAAAGAAAGAAATGAAAAGCTTAAAAAACCGTTAAAAAAATAAAAAAATACAAAAAAGAAAAAAAAAAGAAGAAAAAAAGAAAAAACTTATAGTTAAAAAACAGAGGTAGTCTATTATTCGTTCTAGCAAAGCATCTTAATATTATCGGGTCGGTGGTGTAGCGGTCTAACGCGCTTATATTCATTTATAAGCAAGTTTATGTGTCAGAGACTGCTGGGATTCGAATCCCAGACCAGACCATGTGGATTTTTAATTAAATTGCATGCAAATTACGTCATATTTTCTGACTCTTGAAATATTATACACCTTTCAAAAAAATTTGTTCTTTTCTGTTTTTTTTTTGTTTTTTTTTTTCTTCGTTTTTTATTTCTTTTTTTTTAACTACCACACTATATTTTTTAGCTCTTTTCAAACAAATTTGGTCTTTTTAAAAAATAGCTCCTTGATTAATGTAAAAAAGTAATGACAAAATTTTTAATAATGTGGCATAGGTTTCAACTCAAAATTCCATTTGTGCTGTGCCTGTCTTGTTTGACATATTGTCATAAAAATTCTTAAAGCCTATCCTGTGTACGCACGCGGCCTTCACATGGCAACCGACTCGTGATCGAAGCAACGCTGATGTGTGGAAACAGCCCGCCCGCGTCTCGAATATACAAGAATATGACGGAATGTCTGCCGCTGATGCACTGGAAACAGCTGGAACAGCGGGGAGTGCCGTTTAGAATCTTCGCGAGCCTCTAGCATTTTCCAGTAGCGGAGTTGGACTAATATAAATAGCCGACGTATCAGCGCCGAGTTTAGTTTTTTATAGAACATTGTAATGAAAAGTAAAAGGGTAAGAAATAAATTAGAATTGTTAGTGTCTAAATATTATATAAATTAAATAGTACGTCTGAAATAAATTGTAAATAGTGTGTTTTTAAATAAATAAACTTTAAATAAATTAGACTTTCGTTACAATATTAACCTAGACACTTCTAATTGCAATTTCGATTGTCCACCCTAACGTTAAAAAAAAAACAAAAATATAATAAAATTAAAAAAAAAACAGATAACTCTTCGTTTTTTTATTTTTTTTTCAATTTTTTTTTTTAAATTTTATTATATTTTTTTGTTTTTTTTTTTATTTTTTTATTTTTTTTTGTTTTTCTTTGGTTTTTTGCTTGTTTTTTTAATAATTACGTCATATTTTTTGGCTCTTGAAATATTATACACCTTTTCAAAAAAATTTGTTTTTTTTTTTCGTTTTTTAATTTGTTTTCTTTTAACAACCACACCATATTTTTTGGCTCTTGAAATATTATACATACTTTTAAAAAAATTTGGTCTTTTTAAAAAATAACACCTTGATTAATGTAAAAAACTAATGACATAAAATTTTTAAAAATGTGGCATAGGTTTCAACTCAAAATTCGGTATGTGCTGTGCCTTTCTTGTTTGACATATTAACCTAGACACTTCTAATTGCAATTTAGTTTGTTCACCCAACCGAAATTAGTAAATATTTTAATTTCAGATGGTATAAAAAATATTTTTTAAAATATTTTCTGTTTAATCTAAATTTTGAAAAACTATTTAAGATAATATACAGAGTGGAAAGTCTAACTGGAACAACTTCTGTAACTTGATAAATAAAGGTTTGTCGCAAAATTCCTGAAACACGTCAATTTTAATTTTGAGATGCTAGTCCAGAAATATTACAGTGGTTTCATCCACGGAACTTCTTAAAGCAGAAATAATAATTAATTTCCCAACTTTGCACGAAATACCGTTCTGTGAGTTTTGAAGTTTTATAAGCGAAGCAAGTCCAGTATTTGTGCAGTATTATTTCGCCGACTTAATTTCTTAATATACAAGGTTCCCCGAGTCAATAGACCCTTCACTACTCCGATATACAAGGTTCCCCGAGTCAATAGACCCTTCACTACTCCGGCAATCAGTGAAATCTTTAATTCTGTGACTGCCGGCCTAGGATGTATGTTAGCAGAAAATTTGCCCAGCGCTTAACGTGTTAAATTTATAATATTTTTTGTTGTTGTTAATATGTTGTTAAAGGATATTGGAGAAATATAAAATACTGTTAGTAAATCAAAAAGAATATCAGTAAGCTATAAATATTAAAAATTATGATTAAGAACTTGATTCTTTAAGAACTTGATTCTTTATAATTAAAGGCTTATATATAATAAAGAATGTTAATAATAATTCTTACCAGTGTTTCGTCTTTTCGCTAACAAATTCTTCCTCAGTCTAACCGCATAGTTCAAATTCGTCGTCAGCGACTGACAATCGTAGTGCGCAAACGCCCTCCGCCTCGCGATCTCTTCGGATTCCGCGGAAACGCATACCGAAGAACTACTACTCACTACACTCTCGTCCATAGTCTGTCTCGAGTGCTTCAAGTTGTTGGTGGGGGCGGCGCCGTTGGCCCAAAAATGCTTTTTCAATTTGTTTTTGTATTTGGGACTCTGCGCCGATTCATCGGAATTGCCGTCGACTTTGCCGCGAAGGTATTCGGAAGGGCCCGGGGATCGTTGGTCGGTGCCTACTAGACCTGAAACAAAAATAAAAATAAATGTGATATTTATTTAGAACCTTGTATCTATAGTATCCGAAATTTTATTAAATAACTAGTATTATCCGCCATATTAGATACGCCATTCTGTTTTTAAATATTTTATTTCAAATTCTCAAACAGCGAAATTCCTATTATTTTTGCCAAATTCAATTAACCTTTTAGTCTTTCATTTTTTAAGTCGAATTATCAAAGTATTAAAAAAACATTTTTCAAAATAAATTTTGTCCGCCATATTGGATCGGCCATTTTGTTTTTCAATTTTTTTTAAAATTTGGTTCGTCAAACAGCGAACTCAGGAAACCCTGTTAAAAAAGATAATTTTTTATCATTTTTGGTCCGCCATATTGGATCCATTTTATTTAAAAAAAAATTAGTCAAAAAACTATTAAAAAAGAATATTAAAAAAATAGGTTGATTCTTAAATGGCGACCTTAGAAAACCCTATTCAAAGAAAGTATAAAAAAAATAAAATTTTGTCATTTTTGTTATTTTGTCCGCCATATTGCCTTTTACTTTTTTCAGCAAGACCTATTAAAAAATTAGATTTATAATTTTTTTTGCAGTTCTAATCTTTAAACAGTGACTTTAGAAAACTATTTAAAAAAATCCATTTTTATAATTTTTGTCTGCCATATTGGATCCACCATTTTGTTTTTAAAATTTTTAATTTCAGATTTCTAATCAGGGACCTCGAAAAAAGTGCTATATCCGAAATTTTATAAAATGATAAATTTTGTTTGGCCCATCATATTGGATAATCCATTTTGTTCTTAAATTTAATTTAATTCATATTATGAAACGGCGAACTTAGAAAACCTATTAAAAAATATTTTTATTAATTTTTGTCTACCAAATTGGATTCTCCATTTTGTTTTTAATTTTTTTTGTTTCAGTTCAAATTCTCAAACATAGAACTCTCAAAATTCTATTAACAAATTTAATTTTTTATCATTTTTGCCCGCCATATTGTTTTTAATTTTTTAAGAATATCATACAAAGAACTCAAAAAAATCTAAAAAATAAATATATTTCGAGTTATATATCAGACATTTAATAAAATTTTGTCCGCCCTGTTGGAACAGCCATTTTGTTTTTCCATTTTTTTTAAGTTCAAGTTCTCAAAGAGGAAATTCAGAAAACTATCAAATTTAAATTTTTATTTTAGTTCGCCATATTGAATCTATTATTTGTTTCTCATTTTTTTTTTTTTGAATTCAGGTTCTCAACGAGCAAACTCAGAAAACCCTATCAAAAAAAATTTAAATTTTATCATTTTGTTCGCTATATTGAATTCGGATTTTTAAACAGCGAACTCAGCAAACAATTTTAAAAAATTTCAATTTTTTTCATGTTTGTCCGCCATATTGAATTCATCATTGTTTTATTTTTTTTAACAGTGACAGCAAAGGCTTTTAAAAAAATTAATTTTTATAATTTTTGTTGGCCAATTTTTTTGTTTTTTAGTTCAGATTACCAAACAACCAACGTAGAAAAAAACAATATTAAAAAAATCTGTTTTTATTATTTTTTGTCTGTCAAATTAGATCGACTATTTTGTTTTTTTTAAGTTCAGATAATTAAAATATTAAAAATTTCAATTCCTAAATTTTTTGTCCGCCATTTTGTTTAGATTATCAAACAGTGACCTTAAAAACCCTATTAAAAATTCAGTTTTTTATAATTTTTGTCCGTCATTACGTTTTTCATTCTTTTTCTTAGTTCAGATTCTAAAACAACGAAAACTGTTGTTTGCCATCTTGGATACGCCATTTTGTTTTTAAATTTTTATTTTCAAATTCCTAATCAGCGTCTTCCAGAAGCCGTATATACGACGTTTTATAGAATTACATTTGCTAAAGATATTGTCCGCCATATTGAATCCGTAATTTTGTTTTTAAACTTATTTTTCGCGATGATGTCGTGTGTGTGTGTGTGTGTGTGTGTGTGTGTGTGTGTGTGTGTGTGTGTGTGTGTGTGTGTGTGTGTGTGTGTGTGTGTGTGTGTGTGTGTGTGTGTGTGTGTGTGTGTGTGTGTGTGTGTGTGTGTGTGTGTGTGTGTGTGTGTGTGTGTGTGTGTGTGTGTGTGTGTGTGTGTGTGTGTGTGTGTGTGTGTGTGTGTGTGTGTGTGTGTGTGTGTGTGTGTGTGTGTGTGTGTGTGTGTGTGTGTGTGTGTGTGTGTGTGTGTGTGTGTGTGTGTGTGTGTGTGTGTGTGTGTGTGTGTGTGTGTGTGTGTGTGTGTGTGTGTGTGTGTGTGTGTGTGTGTGTGTGTGTGTGTGTGTGTGTGTGTGTGTGTGTGTGTGTGTGTGTGTGTGTGTGTGTGTGTGTGTGTGTGTGTGTGTGTGTGTGTGTGTGTGTGTGTGTGTGTGTGTGTGTGTGTGTGTGTGTGTGTGTGTGTGTGTGTGTGTGTGTGTGTGTGTGTGTGTGTGTGTGTGTGTGTGTGTGTGTGTGTGTGTGTGTGTGTGTGTGTGTGTGTGTGTGTGTGTGTGTGTGTGTGTGTGTGTGTGTGTGTGTGTGTGTGTGTGTGTGTGTGTGTGTGTGTGTGTGTGTGTGTGTGTGTGTGTGTGTGTGTGTGTGTGTGTGTGTGTGTGTGTGTGTGTGTGTGTGTGTGTGTGTGTGTGTGTGTGTGTGTGTGTGTGTGTGTGTGTGTGTGTGTGTGTGTGTGTGTGTGTGTGTGTGTGTGTGTGTGTGTGTGTGTGTGTGTGTGTGTGTGTGTGTGTGTGTGTGTGTGTGTGTGTGTGTGTGTGTGTGTGTGTGTGTGTGTGTGTGTGTGTGTGTGTGTGTGTGTGTGTGTGTGTGTGTGTGTGTGTGTGTGTGTGTGTGTGTGTGTGTGTGTGTGTGTGTGTGTGTGTGTGTGTGTGTGTGTGTGTGTGTGTGTGTGTGTGTGTGTGTGTGTGTGTGTGTGTGTGTGTGTGTGTGTGTGTGTGTGTGTGTGTGTGTGTGTGTGTGTGTGTGTGTGTGTGTGTGTGTGTGTGTGTGTGTGTGTGTGTGTGTGTGTGTGTGTGTGTGTGTGTGTGTGTGTGTGTGTGTGTGTGTGTGTGTGTGTGTGTGTGTGTGTGTGTGTGTGTGTGTGTGTGTGTGTGTGTGTGTGTGTGTGTGTGTGTGTGTGTGTGTGTGTGTGTGTGTGTGTGTGTGTGTGTGTGTGTGTGTGTGTGTGTGTGTGTGTGTGTGTGTGTGTGTGTGTGTGTGTGTGTGTGTGTGTGTGTGTGTGTGTGTGTGTGTGTGTGTGTGTGTGTGTGTGTGTGTGTGTGTGTGTGTGTGTGTGTGTGTGTGTGTGTGTGTGTGTGTGTGTGTGTGTGTGTGTGTGTGTGTGTGTGTGTGTGTGTGTGTGTGTGTGTGTGTGTGTGTGTGTGTGTGTGTGTGTGTGTGTGTGTGTGTGTGTGTGTGTGTGTGTGTATAACGCATAACTCATGAACCGATACACGGAAAAACACCAAATTTCAAACTTAAGCTTTATTCCAGCGTCTAATGACCTGATTAGATTTTGGGCAGAGTCAGAACATCTGGGGGGGTACTTTATAGGTGGTCATTTTTATATTTTATGGAATAAATCTGTTATTTACGTTTGGGGAAGAAAATTGTTCAAATAAAAGTTACTTCTAATATTATTATCTATAATTTTTGCCTTATGTAAAAATTTCCTGAAATGGTCCGTATTCGAGAAATTTGACAAAATGTGCAAAATTCTGATTTTTATGAAAATTGTTGAAATAAAAGTTGTTTGCGATATCGATCTCTATAATATTTGTTCATACATGATTTTTTTTAAATGGACCGTAATGGAAAAATTGTAGGAAAAGTGCTAAATTTAAATTTTTCAGTATTTTCATTTTCAATGAATATCTATAGAAAAATGTTTCGCGGTAGATGTATGTGGACAATGTATATATTTAGTTTATCCTCTAAACATTTATAGAGATGCTGCAATAGGTTGTACACAATAAACGGCCTGTAATAACTAGATAGGAAAGTCATGTGTTGGACACATCAGATTTTTTAAATTTATATTTTAGATTCCTAATGATCGATCTCAACATTTTATGAAATAACCATTTTTAGTAATTTTGTCCACCATATTTCATAAACAATTTTGGTTTTCAATTAGTTTAGTTCAAATTCTCAAACAGAAAACTCAGAAAATTCTATTAAAAAAATTAAATTTTTAATCTTTTTGTTGGTGATAATAATAAGCAAATGATTATGTTTGTTAATCATATTAAATTTGCTACACTAGTGGAAAAAATTAAGGGGTAAAAAAAAATCTTGACATTTTGCGATTTTTCGAGTGGCTATATCTTTGGTAGAAATGGTCGTACGGGAATAAAAAAAAAGCAATTTGAAGCTTAAAGTGTCTAGTTTATGGATCTTGTAATAAAAAAATTTTCTAACCAAAAATTAGCACAAAATCCTGATGAATATCATGGATAGAAAATTTTTGAATTTTTTTTTTTTTATTTTTAGTGTACGGACTTGAAAAAAATTTCTCGACATAACCACTTTATGCATTGAATAGGTGGTTCCGTTAGCTTTAATTCCTTTTTTTGATGACCTCGAGAAGACCTTTCCTTGCTGAGTTATGCGAAAATGAACGAAAATCCGTAATTTTCTCTTCTCTTGTCCATATCTCAGGAACCAATGGGCGCTCAGAAAATAGAAGGGGGTTTTGGAAACTTCGATTCATTCTCTACAAGGTGGTGGCATGTTCTTTCACGAAAAAAATTTTTTTTCATCCCTATCATGACTTTGAAGAATTTCAGAAAACAGGTCTTGTTGAGGTTTTTTAGAAAATCACGTGCCAAATTGAAAATATTGGGAAAATGACTAATGTTGAGTGTGCATCTTACAGGCCATTGTTCCCCCGAAAGCCCTACAAACGATTTCCGCATTGAAAATGTCGAAAAAAATCATGGGAAATTTGTATTTTTCATTTTTATACAGATTATGAGCCATAGAAGCGAAAAAACGCGATCCTTCAATTTCTTCAAAAAATTCACTCGCATGAAACAATGAAATGGCTTGATAGATCAGGTTGAAATTTTGTAGGGCTTTCGGGGAAACAATGGCCTGTAAGATGCACACTCAACATTAGTCATTTTCCCAATATTTTCAATGTGGCACGTGATTTTCTAAAAAAAACCTCAAAAAGACTTGTTTTCCGAAATTCTTCAGTCATGATAGGGATGAAAAAAAATTTTTTTTTTCGTGAAAGAACATGCCACCACCTTGTAGAGAATAAATCAAAGTTTCCAAAACCCCCCTTCCATTTTCTGAGCGGCCATTGGTTCCTGAGATATGGACGAGAGAAGAGAAAATTACGGATTTTCTTTCATTTTCGCATAACTCAGCAAGGAAAGGTCATCTCGAGGTCATCAAAAAAAGGAATTGAAGCTAACGGAACCACCTATTCAATGCATACAGTGGTTATGTCGAGAAAATTTTTTTCAAGTCCGTACACTAAAAATAAAAAAAAAATCAAAAATTTTCTATCCATAATATTTCATCAGGATTTTGTGTTAATTTTTGGTTAGAATTTTTTTTTATTACAAGATCCATAAACTAGACACTTTAAGCTTCAAATTTCTTTTTTTTTATTCGTACGACCATTTTTAACAAAGATACAGCCACTCGAAAAATCGCAAAAAGTCAAGATTTTTTTTGTCCCCTTAATTTTTTCCACTAGGGTATACAGGGTGTTTCAGAATGTAATGTACATACGTTAACTGTAGGTGTGGAACACTTGGGTGCTTCGAAATCATCCATTATTAATAGGTCTATCACATCTCTTTACCTAGATTTATGAATTTCACATGAATTTGTTTTTAGCCAAAACTTAACAACCACTAGGTATAAAAATTTAAAATTTGGCAGATAGACTCATCTCCATATAACAAAAATAATGCCGTAAAAATAAAAATGAGATTCCAGGTCCGGATTAACAAAATTTGAGCATTTCTGTCCGCTTCAAAAACAACACCCTGTATGAGCAAATTTAACATATCTCTTTAAACATCTTAAAAGAGCGGAACAAATCAATTTGGGTAGGTGTCTTTTAAAATTTGCGCATGTCGTTTTAGAGGCACTAATTTTTTTGATAAAAATGATATATTTAAAAATTTGTTTACTCCAGAATTTAAACACGATCTTTTGATTATAAAACATGGAAAATATTACTTTTTTAAGTAAGTACTTTTCAAATATCTCAATTTTACACTGTTTCAGTCTTTGATTTAATATTAGACATAAATTATAGGCCCGTATAGTTAGCTAAACCAATAATTTTTTAAATACCCTGTATAATGAAAAATAAGGAAATTAAAGATTAAAAATATTATTTCTACTTAACAAAAATGAGTTTAACAGCAAGATTCAATTTTAAACATAACTTAGTAATTATTACTCATACAGTTAACTTTTTATTGTATTTAAATATTTAAATTTATTTCCTAAATAAAGGGAATAACTCAAGAAAAACCTAACTATTAAAACAACCTTGATCAACCTAATATATGATCAAATGACAACTATTTTATCAAATAAGCAATTCAATAAATTCTTTGGATTGCCAAGGATTATTTTTTTATTTTTTCACATGTATTATGTATTCTCTGTTTTATAAATAACTTTATCTAGAAAGCAAGAAAAGAGTTGAAAGTTTTTGACAGCTAATACATAAGTTTAATAGACTATTCATTAAAGTTTCTTTGTTGCAAACATTGGTGTTAAATAACCAAATCTAGAAATGTCTTATCAATTTTCCAACGAAGAATATGCCGATATTTTGTTTGTATACGGATTTTGTAATGGTAATAGTCGAATATGAGAGAAGGTTTCCAGGACGCCGACTGCCTAACCATCAAACTTTTTCGAACATTTTTAATTTTCTTAGACAGCACGGTCGTTTTCCTACAGCAAAATTCAATGAACATAATAGAATGGCAAACATTGATGTAGAAGAGAACATTATCAATATGGTTGAAAATGATCCAAAAATTAGTACTCGCAGAATAAGTAATGCATTAGATCTACCACACGTTACTATTTGGCGAACATTAAAAAGAAATAGGTTATATCCATTCCACTTTCAACATGTACAGAGATTGGAGATGGAAGATGAAATACATAAAATACATTTCTCTAACTGGATTATTCGAAAAAGAAGAATTCTTAATCGATGTTTATTTTCCGATGAATCACAATTCACTAGGGATGGTGTATACAACTTAAGGAATTCTCATTTTTGGGCACAAGAAAATCCACACGTTGTAAGACAGAGCCACTCGCAAAATAAATTTTCTGTGAATATTTGGTGTGGTTTGCTAAACAACCATCTGATTGGGCCGCATGTGCTTCCTAATCGACTGACGGGTGAAGCATACTTAGATTTTATTCAAAATCATTTGCCAGTACTGCTGGAAAATGAAAATATTGGGGGCTTGTATTTCCAGCATGATGGTGCTGCGCCACATTTTAGAAGAATCGTAAGAGAATTTCTGAATGAGAATTTTCCTAATACATGGATAGGTCGGGGTGGACCTAATCACTGGCCGGCAAGATCACCAGATTTTAATCCCGTCGATTATTACTTTTGGGGACATTTAAAATTATTAGTTTATAGTGACGAAATTAATACACCTGATGAACTTCTTCAAAGAATAAACAATGCGTGCGTAGAAATACGAAATAAACCTGAAAAAATTCGAGCGGCAATCCAAGAAATTGTGGAAAGGGCAACAATATGTATTCAGCAGAATGGTTTTCATTTTGAACAATTATTAGGTTAGAATAGGTTATTTTATTAATTAGGTTTTAATTGTTTCAAAAAGTTTATTTGTAAAATAAAATTAATAATTATTTTTTTTATAATTATTTTGTTTATACATAATTAAATTTTCCTGGTACCTTAAAGAAAATACCAAACTCAAAGTCTGTTAATGTTCGCCATTAATTCGAAATTTCCTTTTTAATCTTTACTTTCCTTATTTTTCATTATACAGGGTATTTAAAAAATTATTGGTTTAGCTAACTATACGGTCCTGTAATTTATTTCTAATATTAAATCAAAGACTGAAACAGTGTAAAATTGAGATATTTGAAAAGTACTTACTTAAAAAAGTAATATTTTCCATGTTTTATAATCAAAAAATCGTGTTTAAATTCTGAAGTTAACAAATTTTTATCAAAAAATTAGTGCCTCTAAAACGACATGCGCAAATTTTAAAAGACACCTACCCAAATTGATTTTTTCCGCTCTTTTAAGATGTTTAATCAGATATGTTAAATTTGCTCATACAGGGTGTTGTTTTTGAAGCGAACAGAAATGCTCAAATTTTGTTAAGCCGGACCTGGAATCTAATTATTATTTTTACGGCATTAATTTTGTTATAGTGAAATGAGTCTACCTGCCAAATTTTTATTTTTTATACCGAGTGGTTGTTGAGTTTTGGCTAAAAACAAATTCAGGCGAAATTCATAAAACACCCTGTATCTGGGTAATGAGATGTGATAGACCTATTAATAATGGATGATTTCGAAGCACCCAAGTGTTCCACACCTACAGTTAACGTATGTACATTACATTCTGAAACACCCTTGTATTTAAAAAAAAAAAATAATTTCCAGATTCCTAATCAGTCACGTCGAAAAGCCCTACATCCGAAATTTTATGGCTAGGATTAAAAAAAATGTGTAATGCACAGTTTTTTTATGATGTTTGCTTATTTTTTATAACAAATAAATTGCCAAATCACAACTTTTTCTACCATTTTTGGTATGTTGCGGTTCCTCGAATTTAGGCTTGGAAAAAATGGTCAAACGACATAAATCACAATAAGGCCCCATAATTATTTAAAAATTATGTTTTAATGTTTGACCACCCCCTAAAATAGTTTTAGTGTTTCTAAATAGTGTGAAAATTCGAAATATTAAAATTGGAAACCGAATTTCGGTTTAGAAAGAAAGTTCAAACGACATAAATTTACAATAAAGATCCATAACGATTTAGAATTATGTTTTGACGTTTGATCACCATCTAAAACAATTTTAATGTTTGAAAATTCGAAAAATAAAATTTGTAAATCGAATTTTGGCTTAGAAAGAAAGTTCAAATGACATAAGTTTACAATAAAAATCCTTTACATCAGAAGGAAAATGAATACTTATTTAAACAATTAGAAGCTAAACAAGAATACTTAGCTATACCTTTCGACGCTTTACTCGGGAAATATGTTCTTTTATTGTTACAAGTATATTCAAAAAGAATTGTAAGTAGACTTAGTATAGAGGATAAACAAAAATAATTTCTTGATGATAAGAACAATTATAATAGACTAAATAATGTCAAAAACGCAATTTACGAAACATGTGGGATACGTCCCACTGGAACTAGGATATCGAGACGGTAGAATTGACACTCACCTGCAGGTCGATAATCCTGTAACATCTTGAAGAATTCATTATTGCTGGGAACTCCACTAGGTCTATCGATGACGTCTATCGACCCGTGGCTGCCGTATTCCCTTTTCAAGAGCGGAGAACTGGAATTCGACGGGCGCCCGTTGTGATCCAACAGCTCTAAACTGGAGTTGCTGCGGCAGAGGTGCTCCGGAGCGAAGTACTGAGGTCTTCGTTGTGCTGGTTGATGATGGTGTCTGTCGTTAAATGATGACCTTGAAAGAAATAAAAGGACGGTCTAATAAAAATATTTATTTATATAAAAAAACAAATACAATAAATAAAATGTACAAAATATTCTTTTGAAAATACATATTGAGAAAATATTTAAAAAATCTTTATAAAAACATACCACATATTTCTTAGAGCAATCAGTAACGTAATATAAAACGGCGCAATATATTTAAGGATAATGAAGACTTTTAAAAAAAAAGTCTAAAATATTAAAATAAAAAGGCGTTGTAGACAATAGCGCGATCAAAAAAAAAAAAATGAAAAAAAAATTAAATTAAACCGAAAATTAAAATTCTATTAAATAATATTAATAGCACCATTCATAAAAAAACCGTAGATCATCAAAAATAATGAAAAAAATATTTCGGTGGCCATTGTTGCAATATTCGTAGGCCGTTTCAATTATATTGTAATATATTTATTCTCTATAAATCACCGCATTTAATGAATTTAGTTAGACTGGACAACAGCGTACGTAGAAAGTTGATGTCTGCTATGATCTAGACGTCACTTACACCTATAGTCTATTTTTATGTATGAGAGAGTATTAAAATAATAAAGCGTTCGTAATCCATAGGCGTAGCACTTCTTTTAGTAGAGAGTTAAAATATTTTTTGAAGTTATTCCTCGAGTATACACTCATATTTTCACCTAATTAACCTGCTTATAATTTCTAAACAGCTGAAGGTAAAAAAGTGCAATTTTTTCTAAAATGTTTTATTTTCCACAAGGTATGTTAAGAACATTGTGTCAAACGGGTTATGTAGATATAAGGGTTTAAACTTTGACTTTTAAACAACGTTACATTCATAAATAATAATTTTAATATAAAAACTACTTACCTACAAATCCAAATCAGAAGATGAACTGTCGCAACCAATATTTACAATGAGTGGCTCGATCATTTCATCAGTAATATTGTCCAACTTCCACATTTTCTCTTCTTCTTTAATCGTATGATTTACTGCCTTTTCCCAGTTTTCAGGCTTCACATTATTTACAGCCTCCAAAAACAACTGTTTAACATCACTCATTTTAAAAGAATTATTTTTTCTTGAAACTTCTCCCTTTATCTGTGCACATATCAGTTCAATCGGGTTTACTTCGCAATGATATGGTGGTGATCTAACCACCGTCATCCCACGATTTTTTGCAATTTCATCAATTTCATATTTTTTGAATTTCTGTTTATGAAGGGAACACAAATGATACAGTTCTTTTGTCACAGAACCGGGATGGAACTTAATATTCGTTTAATTTAGCCAATTCTATAAATCTTTTTTTAACCACTTGGTTGTGGGCATTATTTCTATAAGTCTCGAGTGATAACTTGCATTATCCATTACTATTCTACAGTTCTGAGGAAGAAGATCTATATAATTTGTTCGAACCACTCTTTAAAGATATCAGCATTCATGTTCTCATGGTAGTCACCGGTACGAGTAGATTCAAAAGTCAATAAACCACCTTTAACAAAACTGTTTGAACTACCGATGTGTACTATTATTAGTCTGCGCCCCTTTCCTGATTGTGGATTTAAACTAGTAGATGAATTATTTACAAAAGCTTGTCTTCGACTTGTAACAATTTCATCTTGCCAAAATTTATTTGGTTTATGTCCCTCGTTGATCCATGTTTTATCTAAATAAAATATATTTATTTCTTCTTTGATTTCGCATTTCTTTTATAGTCCTTAGGTTTCTTCTCCATACTACAATATCGCTTCTTTCTATTAAAATAGACTTTCTGGAATGTTTTTTCCATAGAGAACTTATTTCTTTTAAAAGTTTCCATAGTGTGCTTCGACTCATTTCAGGGTAATCCTTATCATCTCGAACTGTGGCAAGAACTTTGTCTACTGTCGGAAATTCTTTTCTAAAGAAGAACGCATTTTCCTTCGAAGTATTTCTTTCAAAATATTTTCTAATTGAAATTTTGGTTTTCCTGGAGCTTTACGTGCTGTTTGAAATACCCCACATTTCTCTTCTTTAACAACTCTGTAAATCGTAGATTTCCCAACACCAAGCGTACTACTAACTAATTCCACTGTGTCATCAACACTTTTACATAAATGTTTGTCTGTAAATGATTTAAAACAATTAAATATTAATATTTTTTCATTAACTGTTAAAGGACCGATTTTTTGTCGTTTACGCGGCCCTTCCAAATTTTCCATGATAACACTAGAATTTACACTGCACCTTGCAAGTTGCAACTAAACGACATTTAGAAAACTGTCAAGAAAACACAACTTGGACCTCCTTACTAAATGGAAAACCTATAATCGCATTTTCGGTTAAATTTGTTGGAAAGGTATTTACTTATAATTCGATTACTGTAAGAAATTCTTGGAATTAAAATAAAACAAAATTGGCAAATAGGTACTTATTGAAAATAATCTTAAGATACGGCTATGTAATCTTTAATACACAGGGCTTTTGGCCTGTCCAAACCTTTTTCTATTGTTCTGTACAGCTTATGTTTATAAAGGACCAATAAAAGACCCAAAACTTGTAATAGCTCAGGTACATTTATTACAATTTTAGGAAATATTTAGATTATTCTGTAAAAATATTTAAAATGACCGTACTAAGTTTTGCATTAGACATGCTGTTTTATTACTCTCTCATACATAAAAATAGACTATAGGCATGCATTTTATAGGTCATTCACTGAATTTACACCCATATCGGATTAAGAAACAGATGCACGACTGAGACGGTCTACAGGATAATTTCGCATCAGGTAGTTAAGTAAAATAAGCGGAGTTCTCCGCTGGGTAGAGGGTGAATATATTTTAATTATTAAATACTTATATAATATGTAATTATGTTTATTAAAATTAAATTACTAAAGTAATACACGAATAAATGAAAATATCCGATCGAAAAATTTTAAAATAATTTACTTAATAATTTTTCATAAATTTATTTCCCCCTCCTCATGTAATAAAAAAATATGTCTTGTGATACATCAATCGACGCGTATCGCCAAGCCGGATAATTCTTCTTGAAGTCTTTTAAACAAAGTTTTGTCGGAAAAGCTTTTGACCCGAAATTTTTTGTTTGTTTTTTCTTGTTTTTCTTTGATTTTCTTTTTCGTTTTTTTTTTGTTTTATTTTTTTAGAAAATTTTTCTGTTGGAAAACAAACAAAAAATTTTCGATTTTCACATGAAAGGAAATATCCCAAAAAGGATAAATTCGCTGTCTAAAAAAAGTTGGTCCCGTCGGAAAATTTATAGAAAATGACTTCGAGTAATATTATTGGATATTTTTGCTTTTTTTGTTTTTTTTTTGCTTTTTGCTTTTTTCTGCTTTGTTTCTTTTTGTGTTTGTTTTTTTTTGTTTTGCTTGTTTTGTTTGTTTTATTTGTTTTTTGTTGTTTTCTTTTTATTAAAAAATTTGTCGGAAATTTGATGGAAAACCACTTTCCAAAATAAAACTTTCTGATGTGATCCAATAGATACAACTTTCGGAAGACATACAGACAGACAGACAGACAGACAGACAGACAGACAGACAGACAGACAGACAGACTTTTTTTTTTAGAAAATTTGTCTGAACAGTTGGAATACAAACACAAAATTTTCGATTTTCATATGAAAGGAAATATCTCAAAAAGGATAAATTAGCTGTCTAAAAAAAGTTGGTCCCGTCGGAAAATTTATGGAAAATGACTTTTCGAGTAATATATTGGATATTTTTTGCTTTTTTTTGTTTTTTTTTGCTTTTTTCTTCTTTGTTTCTTTTTGTGTTTGTTTTTTTTTGTTTTTTTTTTGTGTTTTGTTATGCTTGTTTTGTTTTTTGTTATATTTTTGTTTTTTTGTTTTTTTGTTTTTTTGTTTTTTTTGTTTTTTGTTATGCTTGTTTTGTTTATTTTATTTGTTTTTTGTTGTTTTCTTTTTATTAAAAAATTTGTCGGAAAATTGATGGAAAACCACTTTCCAAAATAAAACTTTCTGACGTGATCCAATAGATACAACTTTCGGAAGACATACAGACAGACAGACAGACAGACAGACAGACAGACAGACAGACAGACAGACAGACAGACAGACAGACAGACAGACAGACAGACAGACAGACAGACAGACAGACAGACAGACAGACAGACAGATATGTATTTAGTTTCTTTTTATTATTTCTTATAAAGGAAAAACATGTAAATAGAATAAAAGTGTCATTTTATTTATGTTAACTTGTTCTACAATTTTAGTACTCTATAAGATTTTATTCAAAATTAAAGATAATGGCACTCGAAAAACTAACCAAAATGTATCAATGTTTACTTTTTTTTCTGATTTGAACAATCCTGTATATAGATCTTTGCTATAAAAACTGTGCTATCATGCATTTTCAAATAGACTATAGAACTAATAACTAGCATGTTATGAACAATTTTTTATTATTGGGAAAACAAAAAACAATTTCAATTTGTTTGGAACTTTGCTCTGCTGGAACAGTTATTGTGTACTGCGCATACTCAATGTGGTAGGAACTCGTTTTGGGAACAAACCTATTGATATTTCTCAAACTTTTGAATAATCCGAACAATTTTGGAATTTGACAGAATGGGTCTATTTTCAAATTCAACGATAAACAAATATGTGTTTATCGATTGACCTCCAAAATACCATTTTAGAATTGTATTTTTCATCTTTATAATAATTCATTTTAAATAGCAGGAACCCATTTTATTTATTTATTTATTTATTCCAGAAACAAACAGGCATGAGCCTAATTACATGTTCCTATAAATACAGCGAAAATAGAAATCAACAAAAATACATAATATCTAATTAAATATATAAGTGAAATTATAATAAACAAACCTCGCTACTACAAAATTTTAACAAAGTTCGTTAAAGAACAAAACTACTGAAATAATCAGAAATATTCAGGAATAATCAGAGCGTCTGCAAAACCCCACACCAAGGCTACGGAAATCCTACAAGGTTATGTCTCTTTAATCGAGCCCAAC